ACATGCGATTATCAGAGAATAGTGAAGTAAATGAACTATAACTGATTAGCGAGAATATAGTAATATTCGTGGAATATTCAGGTCGCGAATGGTAGCAAGACTTAAAAGCTAAATTGTGTGGTAATAAGAACAGCTCCAACATAAAATTATAGAATAGTCGCTGATTGCGACACAACACCAAGATTGCTGTAATAAACTTCATAAAGAAAAGTTAATGAAGGACTTTAATAAAAAAAAAAAATTAGCATAGCCAAGACATGTCTAATTTCAAAGTGCAATAGTAAGTTAGAAAAATAAGTTATTTTTTAAAACTAGATATTCGATGGCTATCATCAAAATAGGTAACAATAAGAAAAACTTAATGAGATATTGTCAAATTTATAACAAATAGAATATTGAAATAAAGTAATTTTGCAGCTGACACTTAATGTTGCTGGCAATTCTGTAACAACTTACAAGTTGATTCGTTTTTTATTAAGAGTAGTTTAAGGATATTTCCTAACAAAATTAAATCATCACCATCCGAATACTCGTATGAGTGATATTTTCTAGCCCACGAGAAAAAGGACATGAGTTGTTACCCTGAGATAATGTAAGTATGCAGACGCCCAAGACTTTAGAGCTAGCCACTCCATTAGATTAAATTGAAAGAAATTATAGGGGCAAAATGTAGTGGATTTAATTATAAGATAGAATATGATGTAAAATATATTGTGATTAATTTATAGAGAAATTATGAGTCACTACAATATGTTATACACATACAAATTTATCCCCTCCCCAAATTCGTCTCTGGATCTGCCCCTGCTATATAAGATAGATTTTTGGTTTTAAACAAAATCCGTTCTTAAAAATTACGACTTTTAAAAGATAATGTAGAATTTTTGAAAAAAAGAGTAGTTTGAAAATCGTAGTAATTCTGAATTTTCGAAAATGGCAAATTGAATATTTGTAATAATGCGAGAGAGTATGTGCTATTTAGCTCAGCTAATTTTAAATAAACTTTAATGGAGCACGATGGGCATGTACGGTGCTCATTCTAAATGATTTAATTTAGACAGTTTTTAAAATAAACGTTTGCAAGTGGAGATTTATAAAAATTAAGAAAATATCCATCCTCATTGTTGTAGATGCGATGAACGGGAATTAAATTTGTAAAGGTTGGTGTTGGTTGGTACTAATAAAAAAACACTCTGCCAGGAGGGTCGTTTGTTGTGGTTGGGGGGTCTCGTGGGCATTTGTCAATACCACAAAATAAATGAGAAAATAATGGCAGATGATTCTGTTGCGGCAAAAAGAGAAGCAAGACGACGGAGAATATTACAGAATTCGCAAGCGAGATTGGAGAAGATTACAGGCAGACCTACAAACGGTACACAGGGTTTGTGTTAACCTCAACTCGTTAGCGGTGAGTTGGCTTTTATGATAATTTAGTGTTAATGTCGTGCATTTTTTCGCAGTGAAACTAGTTTCTACGAATGAATACTTAAATGGACCCATAGACCTGGTCGAGGACGATGATGATTATTCGCAGCCTACTACATCTACATCTGCGGATGTTGGAGATAATTTGTACTGTTCTCGAGAAGACAACTCAGACGATGAATATTCGATTTACGGTAACAACTCGACGGAACTGTACTCCAAATACAGCCAAGGAGATACTTTGGAGACCGCTGATGGACATGCAAATACTCCTATCACAAATCCAGGTGCTTCTCCTGAAGAAACCAGAGAATTGCAGATTAAACCACCCAAGAAAATACATTTGATAACATATCTCAAGATACATTTACTTCTTTTGGCTATTCTTGTACGTTTATTTTACTACTTTGACTTGGGATTTGTTTTTGGAGAGGTAAGTTTAGTACATTTTTTAATTTTATTTGTATTCATTGTTGTTTTGACCTTTCCTACTACCTAAAAACTCAATTAGTGACATGAACCTTTCCAAAATCTCTCTATGCATTCACATTATCCCCTGCTGCAAGTACAATATTCTGTTCTCTGTACATTACAGTACACTATTCAGCTTTTGTTACGAATATTGGTTTTTATTAATGCCATGTTGTTTTATGTTGTGTATGATACATTAATTTAACAAGATAGAATCTATTAGTAAGTGCTAGTCAGCAAAGTCAGAAGCTTTGGATCCCATTTTATTGAAATTTAATCAGTGCACATTATCTGCATTTGTTGCAAAATTGTGTATTTTCTGATGACAAAAAGTGGTTTGAATTTTATAACTTTCATTCTTGTGTCTAGCATTCCACCCTACTTCTAATGTTCAACTAGTGTTCATTAACTAGAAGAGCAATAAAATTTATTTTAAAATTTAGTACTTTTACTAAGATTTATTTAAGCTGTATCATAAGGGATCATATTTTGTTCCTGCAGTGTGATACGTTGGAGAAACCTTTAATTAAAAAAAAAATAATAAATTTTAATTCTAAAACTTAATTGTATCAATATACTTGGGTTTGTAACTTGGCATCCAGGAGGCTTGCATTATGACTGCAAAAAAATTGGGAAATGTGTCTGAGATGTGGTCTATCGACTCCATCCATGGAAGTCTTTTTCCATTTTTAATTTACCAAGTTAAATGTATTTATATGGTCTGATAAGCAAATGCCAATTTATATTCATTCTGTGTAGAATTCTGCAAAACTGGGAAGTAACTTTAATCTTTCTTTATTTCGTAGATTTTAATTAAATCTTTGTCTTTATGAACCTAATTACCAGCAATTTCATTACTAATTTTTGAAATATTTTGTTCACTCACCTTCACTTATTATGGTTCATGCATTTGGCTCAAAGACCATGAGATCCTAAAAATAAAGTGTGTCTCTTGTGTAATATTCAGGCCTGTGTCACACTAGCATTACATTGATGTGTGATACATAACGAACATCAGAGATTAATGGACATTACTGCGTAAATTGTGTGAATGTGCCCAGAACATATTAAGAAAATCTGTATGTGATGTTCATCTGATGTTGACATTCACTGATAGGTGTTATTCTGCGATGGGCTTGACTTCTTGCACATCAATGAAATGCTTATGCAGGGGTCCTTATGGAAGGGCATTCTGAAATTGAGCAGTTTAAACACTGTATTACAATGAAACAATGTATTTGAATGAAAAAATTGTTACCCAAACTTCAATTTAGTGTCTCAAGAAAAGTTATTTTACGTTACATTACAAGCAAAAACTATTGAACATATTTATTCTTATACATTTTGTTTTCACTGTTAAATTAATTGACTGCTTGAACTGGAAATTGAATCTAGGTCTCCTAGCAAATGCCCAGTTGCTCTAACTATTTGAGCATAAGAGACAGTTGTTCAAACAGACTTAAGGAGAGAGCCCCTGACAGGTACCCTGCATATTTCACCACCCAATCACAGTGACCATGTAAATTATTCCTAGCATTCACTACGAACCTAGTAGTGAGAGGTCGTTGGTTTTATAGTTACTAGTTCTAGAAAGCATTGCTTCAGTCTGAATGATATTTAGATAGGGGTAGCTTAGTGACGACAGCAGTTGATTTTTAATGATTGTCAAGTACAAGTTAGATGTAGTTTTTACAAAACAAAATGGTTAGGATGAAAGGTTTATTCATTATTTTAAATTAATTCCAAAATTATATAACAAAAACTAATGTGTCCGAGTTTAAGAGGGATTTTAGTCTCCTGAAGCCAGGCAAGGGTTCATCTCAGTTTTTGCTCTTTGAAACAACCAATTGAGATAGGTTCACAATTATCTAATAATAAAAATAAAAGTAACTGCTGTCAGAGTCGCATTCTATTGGTAAAAAAATTAAAGAAAAGACCATGTCTGGCTTTAAAAAGATCTTGATGAATTATTTTTTGTGGTTTTATACAATGTTAGAAAGGTTGTTAAATCTGATGTAGATTAATGCATTGAACATAAAACTCGATGTAACCTTGTACATTAAAAAGAGCTTAATATATTTGAACATTAAATTTAATGCACAAGTTAAAATCAGTGTAGATTTAATGTAGTGGTTCTCCCATTTTCCCTGCCTCTCGTAATTCATATCAGTCATCAAGACGTGTACATTAAATTAATGTAATTTACATTAAAGTAATGCAGAAATTTCTGAGTGTACACAAAGTAGTTGATCATGTAATAGTGCTTAAATGAACTTGTATTATGCAGACTTTTTGAAATACAATGAAGTATTTAAGGTAATATTCACTTTCTTTTTTTTTTTTTTT